ATGACCTCTTCACTTGAACTCATATCAATCACAGGAGCTGAATCCAAGCCCGGAGCCACAACATATGGTATTCAGCTTTGTTCGGGTATCTCATCTGCCATCATCAGGCTTCTGTATTGGGTTCGTCTGTGAGTCAGACTTTCACAGCCGTTTCAGTTTTAAATTTGGGGCTAGCCTACTGCTGTGCCAGAATAGATTTTTCTTAATCCTGATTGGTTGGGAGTCTTGGTCTGTGTTTATTGGTCTGGGAGTTTGCTGTGTTCTGCTTGATTGGTGTTTCTAATATCTTCTGTCTGTTTTGTGGCTTTTTTTGTCTTGATTGGCTGGCAACATTGTGTACCTGTATTGGAGGCTTTTAGTGCAGCTTGGCTCCAAGTAAATGGACGGCTATCATTTATTAGGAAGCTAGGTTTCATCTGGGTGCCTGGTTGGGCTGTGTTTGAGCTGGAGGTATTAGGGGGGATCTGTTTGTGCCCAGGTGTTTGCCTGGCTTGTGGTGTGGAGATTTTTTTGTTTGTGAGTGCAGGCTTCCAAATAATTGACAGTCTGGTGGAATCATCTCTTCTATTCATGCTTTCAAGTCTTTTTTCAATCTCTATGGCTTCTCTGATAATTCTGTGGTGGGGTTTTCTATAGTGGCTAGGGTTTTGGTGCCATTGAAGTCGATGCTATGACCTGTTGCTTTCATGTGTTGGACTAATGAGGAAGTGTGTGCCAGCTTTTTTACTGCATTTTTGTGTTCATCCAGGTGGATACTTATTGAAGAATAAGTGATTGGAAATGCAATACAGATAGTCTTCAAATACATACATACATACATACATACATACATACATACATACATACACCCACCTATTTTAAAATATACCAGTTCACTTTGAACATAATAGTCACACTAAATTTTATATTTATCTATAATTTGGTATTATATTATGGTATATAAATCATGGACTTATTCTACTTCTGAGTTGTAAGTATAACTTATAAATAAGGCTGAACAGATGTTCTGACTTTCTGTTTTATGTTTTTAAAAGTGTTTCTACTTTTTGAAATCACTGTGTTATTTCAGTTATTTTAAAATTCTGAAACAATAAGGCATTTCTGACCATTGCCTCAAAAAATTTCATCTTTATTAAATCTTGCAATCAGTATGAATTCTCTCTCCTCTGATCACTTTTTGTATGTACACTTTCATGAAAATAAATATTTAATATTGAAGCAAGTGGTAATAAGGCCAGAGTAAAACATCTATATTTATTATATACTATTACATGCTATTTTTAATGACTGAATAATCTTTTATAAAGTAACACCTATATTTGCATCCAACCAAAAATATTTACATAAACAATCTCTATGGCAATATGATTCAATGTGTAATCTAAATTAAACTTTTGGTTCCATAATAAACTTTATAAGATTTGATAGAAGCAGTCCATATTTTTCTTTCACATCTTGCATTCTAATTTTAATCATTTTGTTTGCTTAACAAAATAAGGTGACTTATTTTTCACTTAATCTATTTTTCAATTCTTTTTGGTAATATTTGAAATAAAATATTCATCATCCTCTTTTGATGACTCCACAATCCCTTATAGGGTGAAGTCTGGAAAACTGAATGAGCTAGCAGTATTTAACTGCTGGATGCCCTTCCTATCGCCAATGCTTTTTGTTCAGCAGATATAAGCTCATTGTGCTCAGAGAGAGAAATCTGCCTCCACCTAGAATCAAGCCTCCTGATTGGGAGGTGGGAATACCTCTAGACCACTGTTCTATTTGAAACAAAAAATTGATCCTGGGTAAAAATGTTCATTTTTACCACTGATATTCTTTCTAACCAGAACATAAGTTTCCTGCCATAAGTTTGTGAGTAATTATTTTTGAATAAATTTGGATATTTTTATAAATCTATCAATTAAAAAGATAAAATGCTTTTTGTCACAAAAACCAACAAATAATCTATTTTGGATTAAATTTTATAATAAACAAGTGGATTGTTTTTCTATTGGATATTTAGGTCTCCGTGTGAGAGATAATAAGAGATAATGCAAAGACATGTAGTCTAGAATATTTTTCCTGTTCGTGCAATTCCTTTTGTATGGACCAGAGTTATAAATATTTTAAGAGAAATATTAATATCTCCAAGAATATGCATGTCTCACTGCAATCTTCATAAGATTTTGCTTCATTATTGTTTCAAGCATAATTTACTATGTACATATTTTCCAAATTCTTTTCTAAGTTTCTGATTCAGTGCATTTTTTCCTGTCTTCCAAGGGCCACAAATTTGATCTCTTTATTTTCTACAAATTGGATTGTCTTTTTTTGAAATATAAACATGTATATGTATTTCCTTTTTTAAATTTCCAACAATCTCTTCCCTTTTAAATTGTTTTTTTACTTCATTGTTTGTTGGGAATATTTTGATTTAATCCATGGTGTCGACTATTAATTACATTTATGAAAAAACAGCTCCTGTTTGATGCAGTATTCGATCTGTCTGGAAGTTCTTTAGCTTACTCTGTTGCTGTTAATGATGAAAGTATTTTCTTAATGTCTTCTATTATTGCTATCATTTCTGAAAACTTTCAGATAAAAATTGAGAAGTCCATTTGCATTTGATCTCTATCTTTCTTGGGGTGGTCAAAAATCTCATCTCTCTTCACCATCCAATGACATCTGATAAAATATTTTATATATCCAAGTTTTAAAGAACACTACACCTTTTTAAAGTCAGCATTGTATCAGCATTTCCTCATGAATATACACATAGTAAGTTTCTTCTATATATTGTCCATGAGTTTTATTCTGTAGATTTCTCAAATTTGTAATAATTCATCTTCATTCAGAGTCATTGAGAGTGAGGTAACACAGAAGTTTAAATTATCATTGTTGTCATCAATATCATTTAAACCAATCTATTTTTCAAATAGATGTTCCACTTCTCTTTCTAAATTATATCTTTTCAAAATATTCTGGAATTCCTCTGATCATAAAATATTTTCTTGGCCAAATCTGTTTCTACTATTTATAATCTAGTCTGCATTTTTATCTCTGACCTTCAAATTTCTTACCCAGGGGATAATTCTTGTCATTCTGCATCCATATCTTGCCTATTTATTTATAGTCATCCATCAAGAAGGATTCATTACATAAGTAGTCAAAATGTATAGTCAATTATGAAAGTATATTAAAAATCTTTATATCTTATAATATAATGTAAAAATATGCTTTTAATTTATATTAAGAAATTGCTATTACAAAAAAGGAGGAATGGAAATAAATGCTAATCATGGATAGATACAATATTTCCCCTAGTTTCCCATGAATGGACAAATCCCTATACAATATCAGAGAATCAAACCTCCCACTTCAAAGACCCCCCCCCAAAAAAAAAAAGTTTTGCCATCAACATGTTTCCTCAGATGGAATTGACTTAATTTCCTGTGTAAGAATTTGAATTTAACCAGTGCATATATCAGGGCTACAAATAGTATTGCAGAAGGCAGAATTCATTTTCTAGCAACTTTGATAACTGCATTAAGTATTAAGTACTCTTCTTGTCTGAATTGCAATCGGTTTTATTTCATTCCACAAAACATATCAAAACCTGGGTCTAATTGCGTAACTATGTCCTGAATTACAGCCACTAAAAATGAAATAGGTGACAGTATCAGAAATTAAAATATGCTGCACAAAGGTGTATATATCCATGCATCAACTTAATATATTCAAACTTAAGGAAACAACTTCCAAATTTAGATACAGGTGGGAATTATATCACTGCAATCACTAATTAGCCTTCCTGTTTTGTAAGTATCTGCTTTGTAGCAAAATATTTCCACACTCCCTTTGGGAGATTTTCTGATAAAAAAACTGAGAAATAAACACCCTTAACTGAAAGAGAATGCATCTGTGATGGTAATGTTAGATGCAAAGAGACAAAGAGGCAACATATGCAGTTATTATACAGTAATGGCTATCCAGTTTTGTCTAAATCATCGAAGAGCAATTTAGGATGCTTGAAGAGTTTATTCATTTGTTTTCTTATATTACTGAGCAATAAAATATGAGTTTTTACTGTATAAGATGAAATGGTAGAATCCATCTCTTTTTACATACTTGCTTTTCATAGAATTATAACTAACTGCAGTTATAAAGCATCAGACACAGACACGAGAAAATATTAGCACCTTGGTAATACAGACAAGAATCCCATTGCTAATATCTTTTTGGAGAGAGACTGTGGTGAAAAGGGGGGAATTTTCATGAGATACCACTGTAGAAATAAGCAAGATGCATGCATGCAAATCAATAGCAATAGCACTTAGACTGATATACCATGTCTCAATGCTTTATAGCCCTCTATAAGTGATTTACAGAATCACTTATATTGCCCCCAACAAGCTGTGTCCTCAGTTTACTGATCTTGGAAGGATGGAAAGTTGAATCAACCTGGAGCCGGTGAGAATTGAACTGCCTAACTGCGGGAAGTTAGCAGTCAGAAGAATTAACCTGCAGTACTGCATTCTAACCACTGCCCCACTACAGCTCAAATGCAAAAATCATATAGATATCTATTTATAGTTGTTAGTTTTTCACCAATTCATTTCTAACTTCATCCAAAGGGATATTTGCTCTTTTATCATTTGATTATTTAATAAGGTAAAATGCACTGTGTCCTCATTTCTCTTTTCTGATTATCTATTTGTTTGGCTCTTATCTCTCTTGATATGCTTCTTTTATGTTTATCATCATTAATTTTTAAATATCTTACATAAAGCTTTTATTTAGAGATGAGAGTAATAATAATAACAATAAAACATTTAAAGATCAGTGTAACTATCCCAGCATAGTATTTCATGTAGATAATACCAAACAGCAAAAAGGATTTAAAAAACTGCACTGTAACAGAATTCATTCCAAAATAAAAAGCTTTAGGGAAAAAAGTTTCAATTAGATTAAGTAAAACAATATACTAATTTATAGTGAAAACTTACCATCTATATCTTGCCCAATAGAAAGGCCAGCCCATTTTCTCTATAGAGAAAAAAATGCATATAAGAAAAAGAACAATCCTTTACCTACATTAAATATGCATATATATTCACAAAGGAAAACACCTATCTAAATAACTTTTGTGCAGCAGCCATACGCACAATAAAATTCATGTCATGCTAAAACATAGTTGCAATCCTTGATTACTTTGTCTCCTACAGGCAACGTGCCATTATACTGTACGTAGTTGTTAGAAGCATAATCAAATACTACTGCTATCGTTACTATCGTCATGGTTATGAAATAAAGAGCCCCAAGATCCAGATGGCTCCCACCCTGTTAGTGTTTGAGAAGACCTTGATTGTTCTCCCAGACCCTGGGCTAATGTGACTGAAAGCCACCGCTTCTAAGGTGAGATAGATGAATATTTGTGGTGTCTTCCATGTTCCACATCTATTTCTACTTCTGTTTCCTTTTATCTAATTTTGTTTTGTTATTGATTCTTATTACATTGTTTTTATTTTTCTGGAATATTATGAATTGCCTAGAGTCATTTGTAGTCAGGCAGCATAAAAGAGAATTAATCAACAAATGCATAATTACTTTGAACACAATTATTATACATATACATATATGTATAATGCTAAATTGAGTTCAAAGTAATTATGTATTTGTTTTTTATATATGTAAAGCCCCACCCCCAGCACCCAGAATAATTTTTGCCTGATTTTAGTAAAAGGCAAAAGCATGACAAAAATAAAGGGACAGGCAAGTAGGCTTTATCTTTGACCTGTTCACAAGCTTGCAAGTTAGACCCCCCCCCACCAACTTTGATTATATTACTTCTTTGTTACGTAGACTTTGTTCCCCACAGATGCATGACCTCCCAGCACAATAAATTATATTATTTCCAGCTTTGTATTTAAGTAGTCTTTCCTGTTTTCCACTCAGCAAGAGATTTGTGTATTTTTGCTTGGAGGCAAAAACAAACTTGACTTTAAAAGGTGGGTTTTATATTATCAAAATGAACAGCAAATAATTTTGTGCTTTCTTTTTCTAGTAATTGTGCTCTGGCCAGGGGTTGTTACTGAATGACTAAGGGCCACACTTTTCCTACAGTATCTCTGATCTAGAGCAGCCTTCCTCAGACTGGTACCCTCCAATGTTCTAAATGTTAACTGTGCTGAATAAGAGTTTTAATAGCTATGTCCCCAACATATTTAGTATTTACCTACTTTTAAGAATTGCTAAGGGCCAGATGATTTTTACTATCTCCTAATACATAAAACCATAGAACTCAAAGAGTTATCTTTTTTTCACTTGATTGTAACTCTATTAAGCAAAAGAATAGAAGTAAAACCTTATTTTGCGGCTCAGCAAGCTACTTTTTCTTTGCTCTTTTATTAGAATGACTCCTATTCATTCTCCTATACTCAAGGCTACGCTGTTCTTGCTGTTCTTCATTCACAAGTCCAAACTGTTAGTTAACACCACAGAGGAATCAGGGAAGCCGCAAAGATTAGTCACATTTTCTGAAGCTTTGTTGCTAAATAGCTGATGTGAAACTACGTTTGAAAGGTGTTGGTGAAAGAAGCTGAAATTATTAGATCCTTCAGAAAATATTATTTTCTTTTCAATATTGCAACTGTACATCCAACATAAAATGCTTATTCTGCAATAGCAATGCTATCTCATCTTACATCCTTGCCATAGAGGTCATCAATCCAGCTGCCTGACTGCCTATCTTGTATCTCACATAACAATTGGAATCCTTCATAGGCTCTGTCCTCAAACAACCCAATTTTCCTAATATTTTTAAAATTGCTTTACAAGAACTGAATAATTAGCTTTCATATTCATAGGATATCTAGGAAGCATACTTTTATTTTGAGCCACTGCCATTTTAATTTTTGCTGAAAAATAATTACTTTCAATAGCAATATTGCTTGCATTTGGGGGTCAAAAAGGAAACAAACTATCAAAGCCATACCTGTGGCAAACTGAAAGCAATGCTACCTGGGACAACAGATGTATGACTTCTCAGTGTAAAAATATATTTGTGGTTGGGTGAGGTCTTCACAACTACATGCCTACAAAGAGTTTGGGAGAAGAGGAATGAGAGGTGGAAAAAAGATAAACAATTAAAATCTTTCAATATCTGAGTCATCTCAAGCAATATCTGTTCTATGAAATAACTGGTCTAATATCAAAAACTATGCTTTGCAATAAATACAGTACAGTATTCTATTTTCTTGAGATTTTTTTAACGATTTCTGACTATTGGATAGAAAGGAGCTAATCATAATAAAATGCAAAAAGAAGCCAAAAAATTGGGAAGATCCTTTTTTTTAAACTTCAAAATGATTTTTCAGAAAGTCTTTCCCAGATGTTGATATTGAAGCTTCCAGATGGCAATTTGTAGGTGGAAGTTATTGTACACCTTGGTTCACTTAACATTTAAGAAATTGATATACATGTATAACTCTATATAGTTTTGGTCTGAGTCAAACTAAACAAATGAAGTCACTATGATTTTGTTGTTGTTGTTGTGTTCAAGTAGACTTGACTTCTGGCAAAGCACATACACAAAACCTTGATATCTTTGGAGGTTTTTTACTATTTCTTTACTTTTAGGGTTAAAAGCAAATGGCAGGCCAAAAGTTATCCAGATGATTTTCATGCCTTAGACAGGACTCCAATTCAATTCTTCCATGGCTAGACCAAATTGGTTCTCATATCTTCTTTGATAGTTAAGATGGAAATGATGAAAAATTAGTCAATATTAATTTTCATCAGTAATATGAAAATCTGATTAACAAACTTTAGTTTGTGCAATCAACAAGTAGTTTTCTATAGCCTAAATATCAAGATTAATGCCTCATCTATTTCTCCCTTTCCACTTAAAAATTTCTAATGCCAAATAAAATACAATTCATAGAGCTGATGTTTTACATACACACACACACACACACACACACACACACATTTAGCACATTGCTAATAATAGTCATATAATTTGCAAGATTTACTATGTATAACTTTGGAAAAAAACAGACTGAAGAAAGCCTATTTCCCCAATCTTCTCTAAAAAGAGACAAATCAAACTTACAAGCCAGATTGAAAGTCCTTTTCATTGACCACAGCACAATTGGTTAAGGAGAGTTCATCTGTGGGACATCTTGCAGCTTGCATAATCTGTAAGGAAAATCAGAGACAAGAGGTCAATAATGAAGAACTAAATAGCATAAATACAAAATGGATTTAATTTTTGAAGTTCAATTTTATTTTGGAATAAAGGCAAATTCAATGTTTGCCATTTGTTTAGTATTCGTGTATTTTTGAGAACATGTGTATTTTTGAAGAGATATCATGCACCATTTACAAATAGAGCTGGCTGATTATTAGTATAAGAAACAGAAACTTGGTTCTCAGTACATCTATGCTAGAAGATAGGATGGGCTAATCAGAAAACACAATGATGCTGTATGCAGATTATATCACTACAGAATGTAAGCAGTTATGTACTTCTGGAGGAAGAAATGGTGAAGATGGCTCTGTGAAAAGTGAAGCCAACAAACCTCCAGTGAAGAACAATGAGCTGGAGCATATACCAGTTCTCTGGAACCTCCCCAGCCAGAAGTAGCCAGGAAATCACCCACAAGCACTTTACCAGGGGACTATAAGACAACTATCACTGCAGGTGTTTGAGTACTGGGAGATTAACAGGAGCACGCACAACCATTATTGGTGCCTTTTAAAAGACACTAGTTTGCAAATGTCCTTTCCTAATCATGTTCAGAAAATGTTTATTAACTATTTTTAAGCTACCAGAGACTTTCAGATCCCCAAGTCTGAAAACATTGGGTAAGTTTTCTTTCAATCCTTAATAAAGATATTTTTTAATTGAAATAAACAGGAAAAAGCTAAATAAGCCTTTGATCTGAGAAAGTTACAAATAGATTAAGGCATCAGATAAATTTGGAATAAGATTTTGGAATTAATTATAAAAAAAATCCTTCCTGTAAGAAATAGATTTGTTTGGACTTTTGTAAAGATGAGTAGTTTTAAAAATTGGTCACTATAGGGAACTAAAGATTTTAGTTAAAGGAGAAAAATACATTAGCCTGATTAACAGCTAATTAACTGGACTTATAAAATGATGCAAAACATGATAATATTGAAAATATTGAAGGACATATTTGAAAAATGGAATTGAAAATTAGTAATAATGTCAATAGCGATATTTATTTCTATGGATAGAATGTGTCCAAAAAATATTATAGAAGAAATAGCAAATGAGGAGCAGGTATTATTTGAGAAGATAAAGATAGAATAGAATGGAATGGAATGGAATAGAATTGAATTCGTTATTGGCTAAGTGTAATTGGACACACAAGGAATTTGTCTTGGTGCAAATGCTCTCAGTGTACATAAAATAAAAGATACATTCATCAAGAGTCAAGAATCAGAGTCAAAGATGGCATTGAAATTGGATCTTCAAATTACAGGCTTCAAGAAGAGTAATATAAAAAAATCATGTCTTGCTGGATAAATCAGTTGATGTTTTAAAATTAAAAGGGCAATAAACAAAGAAAGTAACCTGAATCATTTATTTATTTTCTATCTTGAAATCAAAAACATTTAACCATATGGTCTGCAAACCTCAATTGTGAAATAGTATAGCCCTGATCTCACTACGTACAACATGGGTGCTATATAAGTAAGAAAAAAAATCTGGGTCATGAGACAAGTTGCCAGAGATAATATGGGTGGGGGAGGTGGCAACAGAAGCAGGAATATGATCGAAGAAAGGAAATACCTTTAAACTACAAATATGGAGAAAGCACTAGGCAAAGTGCACAAGGAATAGTTTTACAGTTAACCCTATATCAGTTTAGCATTACATTAACATGCTAAGAGATTACACAAAGATGAAAGCAAATAACAATGACAGATGGTGCCCAGATTTACGGACAATTTTAGTATAAAGAACTAAATGATCTCGGAGCTATGCTGAGCAAGAGACAATATAGGAGGATCCATAGTTTCATCCTGAGCAATAAAAGGGAATAATTATCCTATTATTTAAGATTGTCTTCAGGATATAAATACAATTGTCCTATGTCTAACTACAATATTTGTATCTGGAACATATAATCTCTTAAGATTTAAGTACAACTAGAGTACCCAGGCCACACTAAGTCATCATTTTGAAGGTATTTTCTCTGGTGTGGTTTGAGCTGTATAAGAGTCAGAGATAGTATGATGGAGAGAGCAGCATGAGTCAAGGACATGTAGGCCAACAGTGAGGATCAGGGTGTATGTGAAAAGTGCTGCGTCAAGGAAGACATGCTGGATCAGAATAGGTACCTGGTGTATTTAAGAGGGGAAGGCTTAAGGGGAGGGCGTATTGGTTGGGGAGAGTGCAAAGGGATGCACAAAAGGTGCTGAATGAATTGGAGAAAGCTGAGGGGATAGTCTGGGATGGTGATTTGTGGGAAGGTTGCTTGAGTTGGAAAGGCTGTATAAGGCTTCCTTCCTCCCTCTCTTTCCCTCCCTTTTTTGTCTCTTCTCTTCCTAGTACGCAGGTACGAAATGGAAGAAAGTCTTAATTGTATTTTGACTAGCAAGAAATAGATACAACAGAAGAAAAGGCAATAAGGAAAACATTAGATATGTTAAAGAGAACTTCTACAATTTTACAGATAATAATATGGATAAACAAATATTTATGCATTTGATATTGCAGAAGAAAAGAAGGAACGTAAATATGTTGTTTGGAAAACTCAAGATATACAGCAAGAATAATCACATGCTGTTGACTTGAAAGAAAGACTAAAATAGTTGCCTATAAAGAAATATTTACAGTCCATTAGCATGGAGCATCTATTTTTCATTCAATCCCAGGCAGTGGTTTTGCTTTCAGAAACCTTTAATGGCTTGAAAACAGATTGGCTTAAAGGATTGGCCAGCTGTCCTTCCACTACAAGATGGTTTGCCAGCATCTACTTCAATATATTATGATGCCAAGGAAGAACCTTTTTTATTTTCCCCAATGCCTTCAGTTATTTATTTGTAAAAATGTATTTAATACTTTATTATCCCCTTAAAATAAAGAATAGACTATTTCCTGAAAACAGATAAGGTTGATTCTATTAGGGTTCCTACATTTTGTCCACACAAAGTAGGACAAAGGTATGGTTAGAGTAAAGCTACATAGTGAATGTCATTACTGTAAATAAAGTTACTGTTTATCATTGTGAATTGTTTATATTGTTGATTCTAGAGTTACATTCTTAATCTGTAGTATTATGTTGAAATGACTGCTTTGTATATTTTTCTAAGGAACACATCACATTTATTGTCACCTAATGTTTATCATGATACAGAATGCAAATAGAGGCACAATAAAATAATGAGGTGAAAAAAATTCTAAAGTAGATAATCCCGAATATTCATTCATTCCTTTTTGCATCTAGACCCCACCATATGAAACAGCAGCAACAATACTTGCCTCAAAACTCTCATTCTCCCCACCAAAGCAGGACCCCCTAAACTGTTTCTATACTGCAGAAGCAGCTCTCATCTGCGACGAAGTGAAGTACTGCATTCTGTATTAATTGTACTTTTCAGGTAATCTTCAACATCTTTAAATAAGATGATGATGATGATGATGATGATATCCATTTAGTCATGTCCAACTCTTCACAATTCTATAGTCCAGATCTCTCCATATCTTCTGATCTTCAATTACTTCTTTAAGTTTTTCTATGGTCTGGTTAGTGTCAGCTTTGATGGTGTCTGGCCACTATGTTCTTTGGCGGCCTGGTTTACTTTTACCATTAATTCTTTCAAGCATAATTGCTTTCTCCAGTGAATTCCCCTGCATGACATGGCTAAATGACATGCAGTTTATGATTTCAGTGACATGCCTGGTGTTATAACCTCCAGTACTTGCTTGTCAGTCATCTTTGCTATCGAAGGAATATGTAGGAGCCTTCTCCAGCACCACAGCTCAAACAAATCAATTTTTTTCCTATCTTATTTTTTAAGGTCTTTCAAAGCCATAGCTAGCTATGGGAACACAATAAAGCTGATTAACCTACATTTGGTTGCCAGGCTGATGTCCTTGCTTTTCCATATTTGGCTCATGTTCATCATTGCTGTATGGCCCAGTGAAATCCGGTCTTTTATTTCTGGGCTGTATTCATCACTGAGTGATCTTGAAACCTAGGAAAGTGAATTTTTCCATGCATTCTACCTCTTCACCATTAATTTATATTTTAATGTTTCCATTCCTTGCAGTTATCATGAGCTTCGTCTTTTTGATGTTTAGAAAGAGACCAAAATTCTCACTGCTTTATTAATCCACACCTTTATTCACAAGGTCTCTAAGACCTCCTGCTTGAAAAACATGGCTGCAACTTGCACAGAAAACAAAACTAGGTAAAATCTCTCCAGGTCATGATCAGGAAAGTTCAAGCCAGAAATCTGTTGCTTTCTAAACTTGATGCCATTCCATTTTGTTTACAGATCTCATCATTCTGAGCCTATATATTAAGGATATAAGGAAACTGGAATTATGATCCAAAAGATCTGGAAGACACTAGGTTAGGGAAGCTTGCACAGCCATGATACTTTTGATTACTCTTATTTTGACCCTGATAGAGCTAATTGTCCATATAATGTATATTTAATGCATAAAATCTGAAGCAATGGAGTCTATACACAGAGATGTAAACAAGGGCTCTAGGAAAATGAGGAAGACTAGTTTGGGTGTAACAGAATGTCAACAATCTTCACTTCTTATTTGCTAGGCTGGTTAAAACTACAATTCAAGATGTTACAAGACATTCATATTCCATTTACTCTTCGAATACATCCATCCATATTTGAAGAAACATATTATAACTGTTTAAATAGATGTATTTAAAAAATCACATTTCTACTAGGATGATGAAGCAGAATCTGCTCAGCTTATGGCAAGCCTACATGTCCTTTGGATTTCCTTTCCAGAATGACTAGTGCTGATTTATATGGCAAATAGCCAGACCAAATATTTTGGTATTGTGAGTCCACTTTCTTTAAACTTAAACAAACACAGCATTGCTGCTATATGTATCTTTTCAAACTTTTTACACAATTTGAATAGCACTCAAATCCTTTCCAGTCACCCTTTTTGTTGCTTTATCCAATCTTGCTGGACATCCTTTAAAAATGAAAGCTCCCAGAGTATTTTATGAGTTGATTTATAACTGAATGATGAATAAAATTCTATAGCTATCAATCCTCACGGTCATTATGATTTTGAGATTGATAAAACATTTTTGCACATCCTCTTTGCTCTTAATGTTCAATGTACAGTCCACTGCAACCCACCTCTGTAAAAGCACCACAACCTCCTCCCTAGTCAGTCTGACCAACCACATCCATCTTCTCTGCTCTACTTCGCTGCATGCTCTAACCAGCAGCTCTTTCATGAGAATGGGTTAGGGATGAAAAGTGGTTCACGAACCATACAAAGATAATACAGGTACCAATGTGAACATTAAAAATGACAGCAATAGACTTGAGGTAGTTATCAGCTGTTGAAGCTTTATATGCTATATTAAGTGCACTGTGGTCTTAGAAAAAACAATAACAAAAGAAAAAGAAAAAAAGAAAATTGGAATAGCAAATATGATGGATGTTCATTACACTGGAAATCCACATGCTCCAGCGCTCAGTATTAAGCAATTTTACTGAAGAAAATTCTTGACCAGCATAGTGTGCTAAGAATCATTGTTCTCATGGCTTGAAATACATAAAATAATAAAGGGACAAAAACTACAAAAGATATCCTTGTTTCATTGGGTGATCACATTTTTGTTGAGAAATTAAAATTAACTAAGTTTGACATCAAAAATTTCAGCCCAAAATTAAGTATTTATCTTGAATGGGAAAGAAACAAAGTATTGGTAGTTTTTGTTTGAATGCCAGTTCCTACTGAAGTCAATAAAATATTGCCACTGGCATATTATACAACATTTTCACACTAGTGTTTCTAATTCCCATGTGAGTATCACCATTTTTTCAAGCCACAGAATCTTGAATAGACCATATGTCTAAGTCAAACAGTGCTCTATCCAATGACTCTCTGAACATATGAAGTCATAAAAAATCCCTCACACAATATGCAATATAAAACAAGTTCAGATGTTCTCCCTTACAATGAGAAACCACTGCAGAAAAGAAAACATCCAAGTTGTCTTCCACCATTTTCTTCACTGCAGTTAAAAGCCTCCAATGAAGTGGCAGTATATTAATAAAAGTGGGAGGATACTGAGGAGTTAATTCTCAAAACCAGCCAACATCTTGTGACTGTATAGATTGGGGCTGGTTCTGAACTTGTTCAATGTTCTTATGTGAAAGTGTACTAAGATTACAAAGCTCAAGAAACAGATTTTTTACTATTAATTATTAGGATATTCAAACATGCACTGGCATAATGTCTAGATTTTAAATAAAATTAGATATCTAATTTCTACATTTTTTCATACTGTAACTAAACTCATTTTTTTTTGTATAGGTTTGTATATTATGTTTACTACTATAGTACTTCCTGAAGCTGTCTGGATATACAGAGAATGAGAAAATTATTCTGCTAGGATCCTAAGTCAACACTGTCCTTTTCCAAGTAGAAGTACTGTAGCCAAAGTCTAAGGTTTGGTGATGTTTAAAACCATCTCTGAAAGGAAAGACCACCTTACATAATGATCCTTTTTCCAATATAACCCATTTTTGTTGCATTCCTAGTTCTAAGAAACGCAGTGTTGGACATAAATAAAATTAGTCACTGGAAAATGAAGCAGTAGTCGTTCTCAGTAGTTAACAGCATCAACTGTAGAATCTGAAGGCAGAGTGCTCTATCGCTAGCCAAATACATTGCAGTAAAAGTGTGAACTGCATCGACAGCTTGACACTCCTACCTTTTCACCCACCAGATCCTCCTGTTCCAAATGGAGGAAGTAACACAACAAGAGCTAATTCCTGGGAGGCCACCAATGAATGAATATCTGTTACACAGAGAAACATTTCAGAACTGATAGTGAAACCTTCCCTGTCTGTGTAATTCCTTATTTAAGAGTAACGAACGTAGGAGAAAAGGAAGTTTTTGTCAAGTTTTATTTAAAAAAACAAACAAACCACCCATCTGTTTCAAGAACCTGGAAATGAGGTTTGCCCTCCGTTTTGCTCCCCTTGTAGGTTCACTGCAGTGATCTGAACCTACGAAATGGGAGGGGGAGAAATGTGCTAAAGGCTGGTGAAGAGATGCTACTTAATGACTCACTGTGATGGTTCTTAAAGAGGAAGCGCAGATAGATAGTACATGCATTTATTTTGCGGTTGTTATTTTCATCTACGGAATTTGTCCAGGGTTATTAAACAAACCCCACTTTAAACGACGGGAGGATCGTGGTGTAATCGAAGATCTCCCTATCAATCCCTTAATTAATTTGGAGGAGAGCGATTACCACTACCCCATAAATCCTTCAAACAGGCTGTGATGCAGACTCGGTCCTGCCGGTCCAACTACAAAAAGGCAAAAACACCACTCTATCAGAGAAGAGGGAAACAGAGTTCTTAAAATAATTCGGCCTTAATAATTTGGGAAAGAAAAGGGAGGGCAGAAGGTGTCTTGCTGACACGTCACTGCCCCCGCCTTCAGTCATTCATCGGCACACTCACCCGGGCCGCCATCTTGCTGTTCCGCAGCCGAAGACGCGACTGACAGGAGATGTGAAGACACCAAGCGCGAAACTGCCGAGGAGGGGCGGGAGGAAACAGTTACATCACTTGCAAGAGGCGTGGTCAATATGCCTCCCTCCCACTTCCGGTCTTTCCTGCTTTTCTCGTTCCTGTGTTCATGGGGAACCAGGGAGGATGAGCGTTTGCATTGCTGGATGACGCCTGTAAAATATTCTTTCTGGTTAGACACACGACTGCCGTATAGAAGAGGGTAGCGAATGTTTGTTTGGCCTCTTAGAGAATTGTTCCCAGTTTAAAGCAAGGGTAGGCAATCGTCAAGATGAACATTAATGGGAAGCTTTGCGAGATTTTATTAAATGCTGTAATCTTGCAGATAAGCCTAAGGTTTTTCTACCGGCAATGCTCATGGCTACTTCATAAGCTGAGAGAATGAAGAAGGCTTAGAAAATCTATCTATTGTAGCTTCTTACAGTACATATAAACGATGGAGCCATAACCATAAGTTTATTTCTGCATCCATAGTGGAAATTTATTTTTTAAATATACATTTAAAACAAACAACTCTAAAAACAAGCATAATTGACTTTAACTTGTTTTAAAAATCTTTGAGAAGAATAAGCAATATTTGAGCCATTCAAACCATCGAGGAGGACAGTATACCAAAAGTAGAAGCGGCTGAGCCTGTCACTGGATCCATGGTTTGAAAAGTGACAAGACCCTTCATAGACCCCCTATAATATTCTTGGATTAAGTGGGTAGATTCTGTGCTATCAAAGAAAGAAACAGTTTATGTTGAACCAAACCATGAAGATTTTGAATAAACATGGAAACATCTTTTCTTCAGCCCATTTTGCTGCAGAGAGTGATCTCAGAGCAACTAATTCAACAGCACCAATACAACTAAGGATGCATGCCCTGACCTGTAGTTATAGACAATAGGATGCTCATGTAATATATTTTAAAGTGTTTCAAAAGATCAAGAAGCACGGGAATACAAGGCTGCACCACCCACATGGCCCGCGGGACATCTTCCCACCCACTCACTCCTTACCTGGCAAACTTGCTTGCTAAATTGCTATTTTTCCATTTTTTCCCCAACCATCAGCTTTTCTGCTATGCCGGGAGATTTAGATTAGCTAGAAAGCAGGAAACCATTGGATGTATTGCTTTCAGCTAATCTTTAGATCTTCAGTTCCGCTTCCTACTTTCCTTAGGACTGAAACTTTTATTATTCATTGCAGACTCAGGTAGCCGATGTCAGAAAGATAGATCTCTGAATGAATCTGTGATTCTGTGAGCAACTCAATCTGCCTGACTGCTTTGCCTGATTTTAAGTAAAAGTTGCTCTTTTCTTATAAAAAAATCAGTATTTACATACATGGTGTGTTGTGAGTTAATTTTGTGAGATTGCTTGCTTGCAGATTTTATGGCAGAAAGATAGATCTCTGAGTAATGTGATTCTGTGAGCAATTCAATCTGCCTGCTTTTGGATAAAAGTTGCTCGTTTTTAAATAAAAAATTCAATACATAAATATTTATAATATTTACAGACAAGCCATGCCCAGCCAGTCACAGCCAGACCACCAAGCCACACCCACAAATTAGGCCATGCCCACAGAACTGGTTAAGACATTTGAATCACACCCTTGCCTCTGTGTATTTGTGGAGTGGGGGAGAGAGGGAGAGAAAGGTTAGATCAGATCTCTCTCTCTCTCTCTCTCACCAACATCAGCAAGCCACCGTTAGTCAAAATTCATATTAGTGGTCCCTGGAATTTAAAATTATGAGTTTGGTGGTCCCTGAAGTCCAAAAAGTTGGCGACCCTTGTTCTACAACTTATTGAATCTCTAAAGACCTATATAAAGGTCCTTCTTTAAGACTTCAGCTACAAATACCAATCATTCCAGATATTATTTTAACTAAACTGATTCAGCTAGCAGTTCCTGACCACACTTGTATATGGATCATAAGCTTTCTTACAGACAGGAAGCAGCAGGTGAAGCACCCCGAGCCAGTTTGGCTTTGGGGCTAAGCCACCCCATAGAGGTGGTGAAGACGGGGGAGACTCCGGCAGGGTTGAGGAAAGCTGCATCTTTCCTCCTCAGCTGGCTAAACTCCCTTTCCCAAAGGCGGTAGAGCGGCAGTCAGAAATGGCCGCCTCAAAGAAGCACTCAGCCGGAAAAGAAAGTGCAGGAGGAAGTTAAGAAGTGAAAGTTTTGGCTGACCAGAATAAGAAGCAACAACTGAGGTACCCTGGAATTTAAATCTTATAAAAGATACATCGCTCCCAAAGAAGATTCAGAAGCAGTGAATGAAAGTGAAAAGGGAAAGTTTTTTTCTCACTCTCCTTCCTTACATTGACAGCAGATGAATGAGAAATCGGAAAAACCCGCTTTGGCACCAACAGGTAATTAAACTGGAAAATTAAATGCCAAGGGGACAATAAAGATTTCTGAACACTTAAAAAACTTTTTTTTGCTGTAAGTGGGAAGGGAGAGGAAAAGAATAAGAGCAAGATTTGGCTGGAGGAGGCTGCTTGAAATTTAAAAGAATCTAAAGTTGAATCGTAATAAGACTTCTAAAAGATACATTTTAACTGGAACTTTGTAACTAAATAGTAACCCCAGGAAGAGAAAGTGAAAAAAGAAAGAGTTGAATGAAACAGCTTGTGTGTATTTGGATTGTCTGGTGACTTTGGGACTTCTGGAAATTATATTTGAATGATTAAAAACAATTGGGTGGTTGTTTAATTTTTTTTTTACAATGGCATCACTTGTGGATGAACTGAAAATGGAATTTAAAAAATATAAAGAAGAGGAACAAGACGGGAAGGGCTCTTTTCACTCGATTTTTCATTTCTTAGAAATGGCGATCTGTACCTATGAGAAACTATAAGAAAAGACTGTGCAACAAGAAGATTGGGACAAAGAAGAAGCCATTTTTAATGAACAACTAACTTTATCTGGGGAAGAAAGGGGAAAAGGGGGAAAGAGAATGGAGAATTTAAGACCTAAAAAAACAACCAAAAAAGGGGAAAATAAGGTGAAAAGTGAATATAATGTCAGAAAGCAACAGAAAAGGGGAACACAGAAGAGGGAAATGGAGGTGGAGAGACAAGGGGGTAAAAAAGGTAGAGTGAAGAAGCAAGGGAGGAAGGAAGGGAAGAGAAGCTACAAAGATTTGGAGCAAGATGTAAAGAAACAGGACTTATTCAGAGATAATAGGTAAAAATATAACTGAAAATGAGATTCTGAAAAGGTACATAAGACTGTATTGTTATACTTGTATTAGAAATAATGTTAGAAAATTGGAACAACATATGATTAAAAAATGGGATAAAATACTCAGTGTAATTTAGTGAAACCTTTTTGAACAAAATAAATGAAATGAAATAAATGAGAGAATTGAATTAGGAAGGAATGGGAACATTTTAATTACACAAAGTTTTAAAAAATTAGTGAAATGGGGGGGAAGTAACCACGCAAAATTTATAAGTGTTCCCATAGAAGCATGATACCTATTTGAAAAGTAATGTGTAAAATGTTTAAGATTTAAATGAATATTAATTTTAACGATAGAGTTGAATTGGTATGGATTGTTGTTTTAATTATATATTTATAATTTCTTCTTTTCTTAAAATATAGTGTGTAGCTTTAGAATGTACTAAGCAGAATCCGAATGAAAGTTATGTACTATATTAAGTGTTATAATTTTAGGGGAAAGATATAAAGGCATCATACTCCAATCAGTGATTGCAGGAGAAATTTTGTTTTAATGAGAAAAGATAATAGACAGCTGAAACAGGACAGACAAAGGATATAAGTATAATGATTTAAACTGAGATGAAATAAATAAATTAGAATTAAGAGAGTTAAAAGAGGGGAGAAGCTATATAGAAAATGTAGAATGGTAATAAGATATGGAATGGTATATAAAAATGAGCATGAACTTGAATTTGTGTCTGTACGAAAAGATGTAACCCGGGATCAAGCTGCTTTCAAAAAAGATGTTTTATGTTTTCATGTTTTGTTTGTTTATGTTTGTTTTTTAAAAATCAATAATTTTTTTTGGGGGGGGGGGGAGACTTTAAATGGACACCTAACATCAAAAATGTCGTCAAAAAAGCACAACAAAGAATATTCTTGCACCAACTCAGAAAGCTCACACTGCCCAAAAAACTGCTGATACGGGTCTACAAAGAGATTGCTGAGTCTGTCATTTGCATCTCGATTACTGTTTTGGCACTGCAACCAAACAAGACAGACACAGACTCCAAGGGATAATTAGAACTGCAGAAAAAGGAATTGCTATCAGCCTACCTTCTAACAAGGACCTGTATATTGCCCAAGCTAGAAGAAGGGTTTTGAAAATATCAACAGATCCCTCACATCCTGGACATAAACTTCCCTCAAGACAATGCTATATAGAGCAGTGGCTTGGGGACCACATGTGGTCCACAGAGAAATGTCCCCCAAAGCATTCCCCCCAAAGCAATTAATCCAGGCTGCATGGGAACACAAGCCTGCGCCATCCACATGGCCAGCCCACCCGCTGGCCCCCACTCTTTCACCAAGTGCAAACCTTACCTTGAGTAGAGCCATGTGAGCTGGAACAGGAATGTAAGACCAATGGCGAGGGAGGGAAATCCGCTTGCTGACATTGGTGGGAAAGTTGGTCCCATACTCCAAAGCTGCAGTAGTCACAAGACTGGCCCTTTGGTCATCCCGGAGCAACTCCTCCAGTCCGTGGCAGGTCGGTGCACCCGGGTGGAGGAGCAGCTGCTCCAGGATGTCTAAAGGGCCAGTCCTGTGACTACTGCAGCTCTGGTATATGGGACCGAATTTCCCACCAATGTCAGCAAGTCATCGTCAAAATTATGAGTTTGGTGGTCCCTGAGGTCCAAAAGGTTGGCGACCCCTGATATAGAGCATTGCTTGCCAAAGTAACTAGACACAAGAACAGTCATCCCCCCACCACCACTAAACAACTAATTCCCACAACACTATCAAACTACCAAGTAGGCTATATTACCATTCTTCTAAACTTTCTTA